GCAGAGCTGCTGAAATCCACTGCTGGAGAGTAGCAGCGGGGAGACAGGAGAGGTCTGCCATGCCATGTGGATTAGTCCCCTGGCTGGGGATTGAACTCCTGCTGCAGTGGCTGCGATAGCTTCATAGTGCTGCGCTTTAAACCATTGTGCCACCAGGGAGGACCCTTGATAGTGTTTTGATACCTGCAAAGCTCTAAGACTTCGAACCTGTCGACAGCAAACCTGTCTGTGAACATGCATTACGATATGCTTAATGTGAGCACTAAGAAGGAAACCCTGCAGAACAGCTGGAAGTATTTTAGATATCCCCACCCAGCCCCCATTCACCACCTGGATTAATGGCCACCTCCAGGTGGACTGTTGGAACATCCAGATGTCTAATATAGGCTCTCCCTTTCTCCCTTACCCCATCATCATTCTCAAACATCATCACACACAAAGACTGCTGTCCACATTGTCCACTGGATCTCAGGGGCAATTTGAGGTGAATTTGAACCATATGTGATTTCCGCTGAGTTAATACTCAAAACCTCACAGAGGACTCCACGGCAGCCTTCTCTCCATAATTTCTGGCACTGTTAGCAGCAAATCAGACCTGGAGCTGGAGTTCAGGAGAAAACTTATTTACTAGCAGACTTAAATCGACCAATTTACAGAACATCTGCCTTGAGCAAAGTGCAGCAGGCAGCCCATTGCTTTGACGCTGAGGAGAGCCTTCCTGCTGTGCATTTCTGCAACTAGAAGACTAACGCTGACTCCCTTGCCTGTCTCAGAGGTGACAACCCTGGGGGTTCTCCTTAGACTGATGCTTCTTAAATCTGCCATTGTTGTTATGTATCTATGCCGTGTATCTCCAAGGGGTGGGGCAGAAGGATGCATTTGCAACAAAAAGCCCCAGATAATTCTCACTCTACCCAGCCAGTACCAAACCTCTGGTCCCTTTACCCTAAGCGAGGCGTGGTGCCTGCTGGTCCCATCCATGTTCTTCCATGATCTACTAACTGTAACTCAGGGGATGGCTGTCCAATTGAAGGAGTGAAGCAGTGAGAACCCAGACGCTGAGAACAGGTCCCCACAAAACTGCTTATAATAACTGTTCCTCCCTGGGCTTGTCTCCTCATATTTACATGGGGAGTTCTGGGCCTAGATCAGAATTGTAGAGACTTCATCTACAACACAACTCAACACACAGCCAATAGAAATTGTGTTGGACTCACACTGTGACATTTTAAAGCCAAATCACTTTAAAATCACTTAAAAATCAAGAGGTTTCTTACGTTGTCAGAAACCGAATGTTTTCTGGAGTTGAAAAGTCACTGCCCTTTATATTTTTTCACAACCTCCCCTCGCCCCCCCCCCCACCATTGTCACTCCTGGTCAGCTTTACTCACTGCTTATTTGCTGCCGCCCTGACCCCCGTAGGCATTTGAGTTTGAGTCTCTGGCTTATTTAATCCCAAACGTTCTTTCCACTCTGCCATCCTGGAAGTCCAAAGCCTCCCAAGTTGTCTTTCCCCAAGTCACTGGTTAATCATCAGCTTCTTCTTATGTAAATCAGAACAGGAAAGTCTTGCTTGGCAAATTGTTTGAAAAATCTTCGTCTGACGCTGTTCTTCACCACTCCTGCATCCTGTGTCAGCCTGCTCGACATTTGTCGTCTAAGAGGGAGCTGGTTCTTTTTATGACCACAGTCCTCTGAGGCCAGCGGTGGCTGTGATGTCCTGGGAGTTCAGGGGAGCCAGCTGGATGGTCAGGGAGAAGGTGCATCCCGTCCACACCCTGATCTGGGCTGTTTTGGTCTTTGCAGCTGCCACCAAGGGTGAGACACTTAGTGGTCACAGAGGGTCCTCAGGCGTTGGGATAAGGAGATTTCCCTATTTGGGAGGATTTTTACTGTGCAAATGAGCTTACACTTGTGGTCTCTGGGGGTCTCATGGAAGGTTGTACGGTAACCTCAGGGTATTGCTGGAAGTCGGAGGCTCCTTGGGCACGGCTAGAGCTCAGAAGACCCTGTTCCTGCCCTTGGCTGCTCGAGTCCTGCTTGGAGGGGGCTTGGAGAGCTCTGGCCTGGGTCCTGGGGTGGGGCATGAGTCAGAATCTGCGCGGTAGTGCCGGCCGCCAGCACATTAAGACAACTAGGTCCTGCTGAGGATATAACTGGGCGGTTAAGGTTCCGTGTTCTATGTGGACAGAAACATGTGCACTCAGTGCTCCAAAGTGACATCCAGCCTGGAGGTGGATGAGTTGATTTCAAGCGGTATCCGATGAGAGGTAATTTTTTTTATCTTCATTGATGTATATTTCTATGTGTATTCAGAAGTGTACACCTAATTACCATCCCATAGATGCAGTTGCCTAGCTCTCCTCTAGGTAAAATTTTGAAAGCTTATTTCAATTTAATTTTAAGAAAAAAAAATTCAGTCAGTCGTTTGTGTACAGGGCAGGCACAGCCTCACCCACAATTGCGCTGAGAGTTATGAAAATGTCAGAAGGTGGGGAAACCTGGGCCAGATGATTTTGAGTGCTCGGGTCTTAGCCCCGACCTATATCCGTGTCACAGTGAGGGAAGTCTTCAGTGCTGCAGGCGGAGGTGGCCTCCCAAGTTAACGGGAGAGCTGTGTGGCTTACTGCTTGCTCTTACGAGGAACTAAATGGTGCTCGTGAAGGTGACCCCAGACAGTCCTGAAGGAAGCAATGGACCTGACCTCATGAAAAGGAACCCTGGTATTTCCAGGGCGCAGCCGCTAAGCCAGGAGCGACCGCCCCTACAGGGAGCTCCGAGTTCGGCTTGTTGCCTGCCCCCACCCACGAGCCCCTGGGCCCCCCCTTTCTTGTTTCTCCTCCACAGGGCCAGCTGCTGAGGCCCCACAGAGGAACACCAGACTGGGCTGGGTCCGGGGGAAGCAAGTCTCCGTGCTGGGAAGCCCCAAGCCTGTGAACGTGTTCCTGGGGGTGCCCTACGCGGCACCCCCTCTAGGATCCCTGAGATTTGAGAAACCGAAGCCTGCATTGCCCTGGAACGGCTCCCGAGATGCCACTTCTTACCCTAAATTGTAAGGCCATGCTCATTTCCATGCAACCTAGGAGTGGGGGGCAGAGCACTGAGGGGGATAAAGGTCACGCAGCCCAATGGGAACGGCGAGTCTGGGTGGGCCTTGGGGAGCAGAGGGGAGGACAAAGAATTGTAAGGGAGCTTCAGAAACCACATGGCCCCCAACTGACTAATCGGCAGAGCTGAGGGAATGTTCAGAATATGCAGGCACACCTTGGGCTCCCTTCTGAACGTGCAGGGCCCAGGAAACTCTGTTAGTGGACAGCACTGTAGGAATTCTGAGGACCAGTCAGGTTGGGGAATCACTGCGACCGACCTCCTTATTGAGTGTTTTGGTTGAAAGGGATTGCCGAGCTGTTTTGTGTGACCCTCTCACCCAGGTCCAGCCTCTGTGATCTCACCGGAGAAGAAGGGTTTAGAGCCAAGACCCTCGTAATGGTCTAGCTCCAGCACTCTACACTGTACCCAGAGTGTGGTCTGGCCCATTGTGGGGAACCCACCAATACTTGTGGAGTATTGGGTGTTTCTGAGACACAGGAGACAGGGAGCTAGGGAGTGCCAGTCACTGTGAATTTTCAGGCTCTGGTAGCCAACTACTGATAGTTCCCAGGTGAAATGTGGAGGGTCTTTGAGCATTGGGTCAGAGGTGAGACTTGGAGATCTATAGAAGTTCTCACTCAAATTCTGTGAAACCTCAGTTTGGTTTCATAAGAACCACTTTGGCACTTGACAGTGGAGTCCCGAGTAGCATGAATGTTCTAGTGCCAAGAAGCAACCTCAGTCACGGAAAAGCTCTGTAGGCTCAGGGCCAAGGACACTAAGCTGAAACTCATCTGTTCATTCATTTGTTCATTTATTCATTCAACTAATATCCAAGAGAACCAGCTGAACAATTAGCTCTTCACTAGGCCCTGGGGACACCAATGTGAGCCATGTACAGCTGCCCTCAAAGAACCTGTAGTTGTGGTGGTGACTTAAACAATAATGACAGTGAAGTTAATGGAACGAGTGCCAGGGTAGCCGTTATTGGAGGAGGGCACCAGGGCACACAGGAAACCAGCTGGCTTCACCTTGAGGGAGAGACAAGGATGGCTCTGGAAGTGTGAGGCCTTGATTTCTGATCATTTTACTTTGGTGCTAGGAACTATGAAGTACAAGCGTTTAGCTACTCAGTTGAGCTGGGGTCAATGATGACACTGCTATGCAAGCCTAGAAGATGCTCTAAGAAATAACATAAAATCTATAGATGTCTACAAAGATGATCTAAATGGGCAGGGGGGAATAATCTCAGAAGGCTTCTTGGAGGAGGTGGCCATTGCACTGAAAGGGAAGAACATGAGCAAGTGGACGTGGATTATAGTCTTGCAGAGGGACCAGCTTGAGCAAAGGCTGGAGGCAGGAGCCTTCCTGCCCTCCTACCTCAGTTGGTTCCTGTGAATGTTGTTTTGTTCCTCTAGAGCTCAAAATGGGAGCTTCCTGAGAAAGCCCTTGATGTGCAAGCCAGTGTCCTGCCCTCTAGAGTTTGAGGAATTGTTGAGCTGGTTTGAGTCCTGATGCATGTGTCTGGATTACAGTGGTGGGTGTAGACATAGGGGGCTGCCTGGAGTTAGTGGTATAATTATTCTGCACAATGTGCTTTTCCTTCCCTTTTTGGGTAGGAAAGAGAATTATAGTTTGTCTGCTTGTGCCTCCACGAGGGTAAGGCATGATTAGACTCTGTCCGAGCAGCTCCCATAAGCCTCTTTGGCTCAGGCACAGGGGAAGACTAGATCTCCCCTCTGGCTGTCACAAGAACTGACTCCGCCTAGGCAAGTTTGCTGACAGCACCTCAGGGGGTGTCTCTCCTTCCCTTTCCCAAGGTGCTTCCAGAACTCAGACTGGCTGATCACAGATGAATACATACTCAAGGTGCATTACCCCAAACTGGAAGTGTCGGAAGACTGCCTCTACCTTAACATCTACGCACCTGCCCACGCAGACTCTGACTCCAAGCTCCCCGTAAGGCTACGTGTCGCGTTGGGGTCTCCGGCCAGCAAGTTGTGTTGGGTGTCTGGAATCCGACCTGGCCCCTTTCAGTCTGAGGGAAATGTAATTACTGGACGCATCAACAGCTTTTTAAAAGTCATAAGGACAGATTCCCCTGATCTTCTTTCCTGTTGCCTCCTTATTGACGATGACATCACCCCTGATTTTTATTTTGTTTCGTCTCTCCTGAAGCATTTGATGACCTGTTCACTCTTAGAAAACCACTCTTACAAAAGACTCCAATTCGTTGTTGTTTGAGACATCCCCTCTTTAAAGAGGATAATAGCATCCTCCAGTTTTTCCTGTTTTCAATGAAATGTCAGGTACTGATGTTAAGCATTTCACTTAAGGTTGTGAAAGACCCTTGTAGAAGAGAGTGGTAAAGAAGTGAGTGTAAAATTCCACATTTGTGTTTTTAATCACACGAAAACATGCTACAAGAGGAGACTGGGAGACTGGCTCTCCTGGATCACGTCAGCGGCACCTGTGGGCACTGACTACCTGCCCAGCACAACACACTCCCTCAGTAACCCAGTGGGTAAAGATTATTGGCCCCAATCTACAGATGGAAGGGCTAAAGCACGGGGAAGGCACAGTGTCTGCTCCTTGTCGTGCATGTTGTGGGGACAGACGTCGTGTTCAGCCAGTGCTTTCGTCCAGCTCCTATGTCCCCTCAGTGGTCTTCTTCTCTTCTCCTGCCCCTTCCCAATATAACCTCTAATTAACCAGTTGTTCTATCCAATATGTTAAAATATTGACACATCTTTTCCTTTCTTTCTCTTCTCTCCTCCCTTTCTCTGTAGGTAGGAATAGAGCCTTAGCTTAAAACATCGTTAGCAACTTTTGCTCTCCCATATGGCTGCCAGTGATTTCCGTCTTCCTGTGAGTCTCAAGCTCAGTGATAATTTGTTAACACTCCCTGAGCACTTGGCTATGAGATACTTTCATTCTTCACACCTTACAGATGGGAAAACTAGTTCCAGACAGGTTAAGTAAACTGCCCAGGGTCACTCAGCTAATTGGTGGCAGAGCTTGGAATCAAACCCGGCTATTGAGGTAACAGAACCCGCATGCTTAACCTGGACCTTTCACAAAACAGGATGCTGTTCAGAAACGGAAGTGATTTCTATTTCTCTAAAAGAAGAATTTCTTGACATTCTTGGGGAGGGGGTGAGGACATCCAGGAGGCCTGACTGGAGAGTTTTCTTCCCTCCTTAGGTCATGGTGTGGCTTCCTGGGGGCGCCTTCAAGACTGGCTCAGCCTCCATCTTCGACGGCTCTGCCCTGGCTGCCTACGAGGACCTTCTGGTTGTGACTATCCAGTACCGGCTGGGAATATTTGGCTTCTTTAAGTGAGTGTCTCCACCAGGGTCATAGGAGATTCCGTGTCCAGTCATCACAGTGCCGTTGAGCCAACTTGGCCCAAGTTACTTAGTTATCACAGTGAACCCCCAAATCTTAGTAACTTTTAAGAGAGAAATCTCTTTCTCATTCAGGAAGGCCAGTTCCCAGTTGACAGGTATCCTTTTTCATGGTCAGCCACGGGGCCCAGACCCCTTCCACCTTGAGGCTCTGCTCTCCCCAGGGCTCCAGGCCTCTAAAATTAGAACACAAGCCTGGAGTCACACCAGGGAGGTCTCCCTGGGTCTGCCTGCAGGTGGCGCTCAACACTTCACTTCACATCCTATGGCAGAGCTAGTCAAAGGTCACACCCACTCCAAGGGGGTTGGAGACGTGCAGCCCAGTGGGACGGTGTGAGCCAGCGGTCAGGAGTCTCCGTGGCCCCCCCTCGGGGCTCCTGGAATGCTACTGAGAACAGTGATACAGCCCCTCCCTCCAGTAGCACCACACATGCTTTGACGCTCACTGTGAGCCAGGTGAGGCGCAGCCGCTCACCTGGCATGGTTGCAGCTCACCCTCAGAACAGTCCTCCTGGAAGCTCGCTGTCGCTGTTCCCATTCTACACTGACAGATGGAGGTGCAGAGGTGCGGCAGCTCCTCAGAGGTCACAGAACAGCGCTGAGGCTCTTGACCCCTTCTGGTGTCCTACCGGGACATGGCAGAGCGCAAGAGGACAGGCTGCTTTGGTCACAGCGGGGCAGGCAGCAGTGACGCCAATGTGGACCTGACCTGAGAAGCCCTTGGCATCATGGGGAGCTAACGCAGCGGCACCAGTATTCACGCCACCAGGCTGGGCAGGCTTAACCCTGAGAGTGCGAGACCGGGAGGAGGGGGGGGTCTTGAGAGCTGCAAGAAATCAGGGAGACCAAGAGAGGCAGCAGTCCAGCTGCACCCGAAAGGCAAGGGCAGGGGTTGGGGGACAGCAAAGGCTGCCAAGTACAGCAGAGCAGAAGCCGGAAAGAAGCAGCACCATGCGGGCTGGAGCACTGGGAGGTGTCTCGGGGGTCCCTGGAGGCAAGGAGGGCTGAGAGGGGTCCCTGACCAGAGCAGTGACGCCTCTGGCGACTGTCTGCAGTGGGGACTGCAGTGGATTCCTCTGGCAGAAAGGTTGCCAAGGGCCCTCCCTGGTGGTGCAACAGGTTAGGACGCAGCACTGCAAGCTGGCAGCAGCCGCTTACGTGCGAGCAGATCCCAGCCCCGGAGCTGCCCACAGGCCTCTCCTGACCCTCCTGCTGCTCCCCTCAGCAATGTACTTCGTCGGTCTGCCTGTTCTGCTCCCCACTCTGTCTCTGGTGAAGCCTCTGCACCTCTGGCCTGTACCCCAGTTCTGTATGAACAAATAAATCTAAAAAAGAGAAAGAAAGGTTTCCAAAAGTCGTTTCCAGTATCTGGGCAGACGAGGACACCATAGGTAATGAACTTGGATAGGTGAGGGCAGGTCTGGTTGGCAAAGACCTGAATGCCAGGCTGTGCTCTGGAGAGCAGAGAGGAGGCCAGGTGAAGGATGCCCAGGCTGCAGAGGGGAGTTTGACTGGGAGGCTACGGTTCAGTCTTGATGCAGACCCCAGGGGTGAATCGGGGTGGTTGGCAGACTAGTGACTGCTAATGTGGATACAGCGCTTATTGTGTGCCTGGCACTATCAGCCTCCATAGCCACCCTCAAAGTAGGCACCACAATTAGCCCCATTGTAGACAAGAGAACATTGTGGCAAAGCAGGTGAAATGACTTGCTCAAGGTCACACAGCTCGCACATGCCCAGATCACGATACCTCGTGTGAGCCCAGCTGCTAAGAGCAGGACCCCCTGGGCCCGTGGACTCCAGGGACCTAGGCAGACCCCGCCATTGCTTCTGCAAGGCTGTGCATTTCTCTCCTGGCTGTGTAGCTTCTAGCAGCTTCTCAGGAAATCCAAATCTCAGCAGAGGGGGGCAACCCAGCCTGGTTTTCCCGCTCTCACCAAACTTCCAACTTGCCACTCTTGTGGCGAGGCCCTGACACCCTCCTACAGCCCCAACCCCACTGCCATGGCCCACTGGGCATTCTTACCCTGCTTTTCACCCCCAGCACAGGGAACAAGCATGCTCGGGGGAACTGGGCCTTCCTGGACCAGGTGGCTGCCCTTACCTGGGTCCAGAAGAACATCGAGGTCTTTGGTGGGGACCCCCTCTCCGTGACCATCTTCGGCGAGTCAGCGGGAGCCATCAGTGTTTCCGGCCTTGTGAGTATGCCTCGTTGGGGCTTGAACTAGGCTCAGTGTGACAGGTTAGGAAATAGACTCGGGCTTTGGAGTTGAACAAACACACTTAGCTCTGTGGCCTCCTGAGAGACTCACGTCGAGAGTTAGGGCCTCGGTCTCATTTCGTGGACCGGAGCTGTCCTGGGAGGCTTCAGCGAATCACCCAAGGAGGAATAATAATAGGAGGAAAAAATCATTTATGTTTATAAAATAAGCCCTGGTATCCAGTGCCAGAACTGGTAATTACGTGTCTAATAGAAAAACTCAGCTAAAAGCATAAAATAACACATGATTCATATAATCATTTTGGTTTTACTTAAAACATGAAATGCGCATTCCTTCACCGGCGGCTTGATGTCGGCCTTGTCATTTCAGTTTGTCTGCTGACTGGAAGGCCAACATGCCTTCACTTGCAGAGACCTCCTGCAGAATTCTTGCGCTCAGATTGCCACTTCAGCTTCTTTCCGATGAGCATGAACTTCAAGATGCCTGATCATAGACGATGAAAGTGCTCATGGGGTTTTATTTTCCTCTACATACTTTACTCTTACGTGTTCGCATCTAACTTGACAGCAGTATTTCTTCACTGCTTGCCTTTATCAAGGCCTCGTTTCCCCCAAACAAATTTTTTTCACATACACACTTTGTTCATTGCCATGATATTTCATCCATTATGGAATTATAATAGTAAGTATAACTGAAAAAACAAGAATTTGAAAGCAAATACACTTAACTCTTGGCAAGAAATGGATGATAAAGGTATGAACAGAGGTCCTAGAAACAGCTCTAGTGTGGACACCAGTTAAAATTTAATCACAGAAAACAGCTACACGACTTCTGTATAGCCCTAGACACAGTATTTTTATATCTTCAAATTAATCCAATAAGGAGATTATAGTAACTCACTTTACATGCATGATGCTAGCCACCATTCAAACAAACACTGTACAAAGCCTTCTATATTTTAGTTTCTCCTGCTCCTCATAATTCCAGGATGTAGGTTCCATTTTTATTTCAGTATTAATGGGGAGCAAACTGGTGGTTAGAAGTAATAAGCAACTTGCCTGTGTTCACCCAGCTAGGAACTGACGGAGCTAGCACTCGGAACTTAAAGATCACCAGGAACTGGGACTTGGAAAGATTCAATAACTTGCCCAAACTCCTTCACAGCTCCAACCTTCAAACCAGGTTTTTCCCCCTCAGAGGAGCTTCCTAGGAAAAGTTTTTTTTTCTTCTTTAAAGATTTGTTTATTTATGCATACAGAGCTGGGATATAGGCCAGAGGTGCAGGGGCAGTGAGAGGCTTCACCAGAGACAGAGTGGAGAGCAGAACAGGCAGATTGAGAAGTACACTGCTGAGGGGAGCAGCGGGCGGGTCAGGAGAGGTCTGCCGCACCATGCGGGTCACCTCCGGGGCGGGGATCGAACTCGCACTAAAGTGGCTGCAGTGAGCTTGCAGTGCTGCACCCTAACCCATTGTACCACCAGGGAGGGCCGAAAGCTTTTTTTCAAGAAGGGCGGGTGGCATGTGTGAAGAGTAGCCAGCCCCATGCATACCTTCCTCATCTCCTGTGTTCTCTCTCCAGCTCCTGTCCCCACTGACCACTGGCTTATTCCACAGAGCCATCATGCAGAGTGGGGTGGCCATCATCCCTTACCTGAAGACCGCTGAAGACGAGAGGAGTAAGGATGTAGGTGCATGGTTACCCTCTCCGCTTTCCTCTCAGGAAAGAATGTGATCATGTGTGGACAGACCGTGTGCTTCTCTGTGCTTACTGACCGTGATCAAAGAGGCCAATGCCAGCCCAGAGGAGGCCATCATGCAAAGCCTGGCTCAGCAGGAAGTGGGTGCAGCCCCACAGTGCAGTATTGCTGATGTGCGTGACTGAGTGCGTGCGAGTGTGACAAATACTGTGTGTTTGTGTCCGCTTCTGTGTGTGTGTGGGTGTATGTTTTCATGCTTGTGTGTATGTGTTTATCTGGGACATGTGCACACACGTGTGTGTGTGCATGTGTGTGATTGTTCTTCCACCTTAACTAATCCTTTGCTTATGATATATAATTCAGTCCCCTGTTTATATACGATTCAGCTCCTGTACTTAATTCTATTTCACCTAGACTACTATGTAAGAAAGATTCTGATGCCGTTTGCAGCTCAGTGGAAATAACGCTATGAATAACTAATGTTTTTGGCATGAGATAGTGTGTGGAGATAAGATATATTCCCAGATATTTGTCTTAGCACTCTACCAGATAATGAGGGCCTATCTTTCATGTCCCAGTGTAATGCCTTGGGATATCAGGCAACTGTACACATTCACTGAATGTTTTGAGTTAAGGGATATGCTGATTCAGTCGATGAACATTAAATAAACACTGGACTCTGGAACCTGGGTATTGTACATTTTAGTGGTGCATTTTCGTAAATATCCTATAGAAAGTACAAACACACTAAGAACAGAAATGCAGAGTTATAATAGTGTGAAAATAACCTCCATATGAGGGGTTATTGATTTTGGTAGCATAATATATCAACTTCTGCTTTGGGCTCATCTTTATTCATTCACTACATGTGTGTTAGTGCCCAGTGTTTTCTCAGCTTTGCTGGGGCCTCTGGATTTAGAAGTGGCAAAGGCATATACCAGCTCAAGAAGACAATAGTGTTTCATGGCAAGGGTTTTTAACCTGTGGTCCATGTGTTTGGAAGGTGCTCCTTGAACTCTGTGTGAGTATGGGCTTCTCGGAGCACTGTGACCCCTGGAAGACGAAGGGCCGTCATTTTGAAGGGACAGGTGGCCAAGTTCAATGTCAGGGCAAGCAAAGGGCGGGGTAGAGAACAGGATCCTTGGGGTGAGAAGAGTCTAGAAGAGGAAGCTTACAGAGTTTGAAAGGACAGTCCGAGGGAGGAGGGAGATGGACCTTCAGAGTGAATAGAATTGGTCTAGAGACAGAAAATGAGACTTCTGGGGCTTTCCAGCTCGGATGAGGGAGAGATTTCCAAGAACTGACAAGCTGGGACTGACTGGAGGCATGCCTCAACTGACAGTTAAGGAGCTTGCAAAGCTACTCCTCACTTTTGGGGCTCCTAGCTCTATTTAGCACCCCAAAGTTGAGATTCTCACCTCCTTGGAGGACTGGAGCCAGAGTGGCCTTTCTGGAACCCAGAATCTTAACTGTCCCAGGCCCACAGGCTGACACAGCACCTGCCCAGCTCTGACAATTGCTAAAGATGACAAAGAGTTCAGGTGAGAGTGCGGAGAACCCCACACCCACCTGTCCTCGGTGAGTACATTCATTGCAGGCAAGGGCGGTAGGGGGCAGCAAGCAGACCAGCCTGTAGCTGGATCAAGGACTCTATTTTTTTTACATAAACTAAGATTTTGTTTAAATATTACTTTCTTTCTTCAGAGGACTCTTTCTATCGAGGACTCTTTCCAACTTGCTCTTTTTGGGAGGTTTTCAGTACCCAGCTGTGACCTAGTCCTTCTCTGGAAATAGTTGCAGGTGATTGCAGAAGCCTGTGGTTTCAAGGCCTGGGACTCCCCAGCCCTGCTGCGGTGCCTGAGGGCAAAATCATCCAAGGAGTTGCTGGACTTTGGCCAGGTGAAGTGGGTAAGGGAGGGTTGGGGGGGGGTGGCACTTTGATGAGAGCAGCAGGCAAATCCTACCTCGGCTAGGGACTAGTGGTTCGCAGCAGTGCCTGACTTGGGTTAAAGGGCAGCACTGTGAAGCTGTCTGCAGCCTCTGCAGCAGGAGTCCGATCCCCAGCTGGAACGGTGACCCCATTGGCAGCCCTCTCATGACCCACCCGCTGCTCCCCTCAGCAGTGTATTTCAGTTGATCTGCCTATTCTGCTCTCCACTCTGTCTCTGGTGAATCTTCTCACCCCCCACACCTCTGGCCTGCACTTCAGTTCTTGTATGCATCAATAAATAAATCTTTAAAAAAAGAGAGAGAGCAAAGTCTGCCCGTGTGGAAGGCAGAATCCTTATAGGTAATTTAAGGAACTCGATGGCTCATGGGTGCTGGTTAGCCTGAAGAGCCATTAAAAGTCAAAGATCATCTGTCATCACTGAAGGCATCTCACAGACAGAAATGGGCACCACACTAGCTCCACATGCTACCAGAAGCTAACATCAAGATCAATAGCTACAAGTCCTATTAGGAAACCACTTTGAGTTTGTATAACCAAGGCCTTTCTGGAAACCCAGTTGTCTGTAAAGGACGGGGTCCTTTGGAAGAGAGTGAGACATGCGTTTTGGGGTATCAGGGTCTAGGTGGCCACTGGCAAATTTCAGCCACAGGACAATTCATTGGGCTGGATGAGCTTTTAAGGCCTTTCCAATCTTGAGAGCTTCTGATGGTCCTTGAATGAGCGCTACTGTATGTGTCAGACTTCCATGTGTGGTAGGTAGTTATTTGGCATGGAGGGGGGCTACGCTGTAGCTCTGCTCACGTCCAGGAAATACGCAACAGTCCTTGACCTGATGTTGCAAGACAGCTCCTTTGTGTATTCCCTTCTCCCCCCCCTCTCAACACAGAGACCTGAAAAAGCCAAGATGAGAGCCAGGTGTCGCCTCCTCAGACCTAAGAAATACCCAGTTGGACCCCAGGTGCCGTGCTGAGACGGACATCTCAGGACGAGCTTCCCACCACCCCACCCCAGCCATCCCCCCACTCTCCACTCTGCCCTTTGCCCTTGGCCAGCAGTTCTCAAACTTGAGCATTCATGGGAATCTCCTGGTAGATGGCACCCCGGAGCTTAGGATTCATAGGGGTCCAGGATGGAACCTGAAAATTTGCATCTCTAGTAAGTTTCCTGGTGATGCTGCTGCTACCATAGGTCCTGGACCCCCTCTTTGAGAACCACTAAGCAAAGCTACTATTTTTCTAGGGTGACTACTGTTCTTACCCACTTTGCAGATGAGGAAACCAAGGCCCAAAAAAGTTGAGCCCCTTTGCTCAAGGAGGCTGGGCCCCAGGGCACTGCACACTGGGACAGGCCAACAGTGGCTTATTTCCTTTCTCAATGCACTTTGGCCACCACTACAGTGGGTCGGCTCAGCCTGGCTGGGGCGTGGGGACAGCAGAATTTGTCAAAAGAAACAGCTGTCGATTTTTCCCTTCTTATTTCAGAAAACCAAGTCTTTCACTCGAGTGGTTGATGGTGTTTTCTTTCCTGAGGAGCCTCTAGATCTATTGACTCAGAAACAATTCCACCCAGTTCCTTCTATCATCGGAGTCAACAGCCACGAGTGTGGCTTCCTGCTGCCCGTGGTGAGGATTCTGTTGGTACTTCCGGTCTCTCCCAGGGGGTGAGGTGGCTTTCTGTCTCCACAGCTGGGGTTCCCTTAGGTGACACCAAATACTGTGAGGGCTGGAGCCTCTCAGCCAAGTGATCATCTTCTCTCTCTGAGGAGGGTGATGGACGGTGGGCCTGCCATGGCAAGTGTACCCCCTTCTCCTCAGAGAGAAGAGTCGAGAAGTGACTCCTAAAAATGTCAGAGAGGATTGGGCCCATTGGAGCATTGTTCAGAACATCACAAGTGTTTGTTTCAAACAAACACAGTTCTAGCTTCAAAGATGAAACTCAGCTAGGTTTGGAAACTCATCAATTTACCTTTTCATGTCCAACCTTGGTTGAGGCCTTTGACTCCTGAAAATGTTCTCTCAGGTTATACAGGTGTGAAACTAGTGGCATATGTCATTCACTCAACAGGGATGAACTGAGCACCTTCTATGTGCTGTGGCAAAAACTGAGCTTATGGCAGTCACTGGTCACAGTTTCAGTCACACAGTTCCCGCTTTCTGCTGGTTTACATTCTCACACAGAAAGAGCCAGGTTGAAGAGACTATTCCAGAGAGTGACAAGTGGCAGGAAGGATGTAAACTGAGGAGAAGAGGCCACATAAGGGAAGAGAAAGTGATCACTAAAGATCCTCCTGAGGAGGGGCCATGTGAGCTGAGGCCTGAGTGCTGACAGGGAGTCCTGCTTTCTTGACCCTCCATGTTCAAAACCAAAATTCCTCACCGGCCCTCAGCATAGTGGAATGCTTAAATTCATAAAGCTCATTTAAATTGACAAGCCTCCTCCTTTCAAGCTGGAGAAAGGAGGGAAAGGAACACAGAGGTCTGTCCACTTTGAGACTCCCCTGTGGCCTTCTAGAACTGAACCCCGCATTGGTCAGGCTGGTAAAGGCGCACCGGCCATTGTTAATTTGACTGACGCAATGTTTAGGGGTGAGGTGGAGGAGGGGATTTTTGCCTCCGTGTAAGAAGGCAGTTGAGAACCCCAGTCCAGGGCACTGCTACCGTCACAGACTGTGGCCTATGGAGGGCATTTCAGTGTCTCGGCTGTTTAAGCTAAAACAGGGTCCTCAAGTGCGTCTTAAGCCAGTCTGTCTGGTGTTCTTTTCAAAAGAAGTCTGGACCCAGGGAAGCACAGGTAGGTGGAAGGAGAGAGGGAGAGCATGTGAGCAGAAGGGCGGCAGCTGCAAGAGGAGGAGGGAGGCCTCAGAAGAAGCCAGCCCTGCTGTTCTTGACCTTGGACCTGTGGCCTCCAGGATGTGAAGAAATATGCTTCCTGTTTCAGTCACCCAGACGGGGGTGTTTTGTTATAACCACCCTCACAAACTAATACCGGCCACGACTTGACTTTGACACTAAATTCAAAGAGACACCAGAGAAATGTTGAAATTAGTGGTCTGGTGTTCTCTTTCTGAAGACCTTTGCCATCAGGGCCTCTGGGAAGCCCGCGGTTGGCAGGTGGCCGGGGAACTGCAAGGCTGGAAAGCTTGGAAAGCTGGAAGCTGCTTGGTACACAGTAAGAGCAACGAGTAATTATTTTGTTCAGTGGCCTTCCCAGGCCAACCCTCCAGCTTAAAAGCACAAGGGAGTGGAAATACTACTCATTTGTCAAGGGAAGGTCCCAAGTTCATTTTTTGTCTGAAAACCTCGGGATAGTGAGTCACTGAGGTAACTAATTTCAACATATCCGTCTCTTTGGAGTCTGAGGGAGCCCCCAGCCCCTCAACTTATTTATAGTTTAATTACTAAGGACTCTCTGTGTATGCTGGGAGCTGGGATTTTTCTGAGGAGGACTCCCTACCTCAGGGGCTGCTTCCTTCCCACCACACACCCTCCCTTCCTTCTTCCAGTCAGCAATGAATGTAACACCTAGAGGTGAGCACCGAATCAAGCCTCTGAGTTGTGCAGACCAGGCACTGATTCCCTTTCCACCTCCTGAATAATTCCAGTTACCTCACATCTACTGATTGCTGACTATTTGCAAGTTATTTAGTGTGTATCTGTGAGGCAAGTAGTAAGATCAGCCCTATTTCACAGATGAAGGACGGCAGCTCAGAGAGGTTAGGCAACTCACTTAGGGCCACACAGCAGGTAACCAGAGGACACCACACTTAAAGCCCGATGCTAACTACACAAATGTTACAACTGTTTCCACACTAGCTGGGAGACTTAGAAAAGCCACTTTTGTGTCTCTGAGCCTCCGTTTCTTCAGCTGCGAAGCTGGAATGACACTGCCTGCTTGCCAGTTGGGGCCCAGAAGGGAGCACCTGGCACGTGGGAGGCAGGTGGGACTGGCCATGGTGCTGTGGGGTGCTGGCCACATTAGCAGCATTTACCTTCAGACCCAAAATAAGTAGCAGTGGCAGGATTTCCCACCCGTGTGCTCAAAGGGCCCCTCGGCCCCCTCTGCATAAGGTTACATTCTGGATATGGGGGAAAGGGAGTGAGAACTTCAGCAGAGGAATTTGGGGAGACACAACTCCACCTGTCTTGTGGCCTTTCGACAGAGCAACCATGCAGTCCCCAAGGTGGCAGGTATGACAGGAAGTGACACTGCCGGACCCAACTCAGGGCTGTGCCACTTGTCAGGGGACAGCCAGTGCATCTGCCCTTCCCAGCTGCCCTTGGGAAAGCCAGGTGAGGCTTCCCTCGACCACCTGAGGTGCGGATGCCTGAGGTGCCTTCTCTCCACAGAAGGAATTTCCCGAGATCCTCAAGGGCTCCAACAAGTCTGTGACCATGCACTTGACACGCACCATCCTGGTAAGCGGGGCTGGGCGGGGCCTGGCAAGGAGCTTTAACAAGCCTTGCTGGGTCGTGCTCTGGGTAGGGCCTGGGGTGCACCCCCATCTCCCTCCTGCCTTCTCTGTTCCCTCCCACCCCCGCTGCTTTCCCCACCCTCCCTCCTTCCCAGACTTCACACAGTAGAGGTTGGCAGCCCCCTGCCAACCTCTCAAAATCCAAAGAGTTCTGAAAGGCCAAAGGTTTTTTGTAACCACACAGAAGCCAGTCTCTGTCATTCCCACTCAGGTGTTCTTTTTTCTTATTCTACTATTCCTGTGTTTCTTTGTGGATGCATTTATGTGGATATTGGGATGCTGTCCTTCTGAGCATGTTACATAATGTGGAGTGCGTGCACTGAATTATCTAGCTACAACCTGAAAGGTTCTGAATTCTGGACACAACTGGGTCAAGGGGCCAAATGAGGCCTGTGGTCACCACAGGCCAAATGAGGCCTGTGCTGGGCTCTTGCAGTGCTGGAAGCATCGTTCGTTGGCTCCCTGTACAGATGGGTCCTAGCACGGGATCCTCAAGACGGCTCTTCTCCCCCTTCCTTTCTCGTCACGCATTTACTCACCATGTGTTCTCTGCCAGGTTGTCTCAGTCATTTATTCACTGAACAAATGTTCATTTAAAGTCCACATGCCAGGCATCCCTGGTGGCACAAGGGGTTAAGTCTCAGCACTATGAAGCTGTTTGCCACTGCAGCACGAGTTCGATCCCCAGCCAGGGAGTGACCCACAGGGCGCAGCAGGCCTCTCCTGTCTCCCCGCTGTTCCCCTCAGCAGTGTGTTTCAATGGATCTACCTGTTCTTTTCCCTGTTCTGTCTCTCATGACTCTTCTGACCCCTAGCCCACCCCTCTGGCCTATACCCCAGTTCTTGAATGCATAAAAAAAAATCCTTAGAAAAAGAAGGAAGTTCCTGCAGTCCTGAGGAACTGGTCTCCTGTCAGGGCAGATGGACACAGCTGTGGAACCACAGTACAGGAATATCAGGCCCTGTGGGGCTCACAGTAGGGGCAGCTGGTTCCGTTGGAGGGAAGGGTTTGGAGGACAAGTTAGGTTTGCCTGGCTGGTGAAGGAGCAGGGCTGAGGAGAGCCATAGGAACGGAGAAGACGAATTTGGAACAGAGGCTTCAAAGAGATCAGCAGGACTCAGCTGCGCAAGGCAGGTGCACGCAGCTCATCTCAGGGGCTGGGACGTGATTTGATTTTCGTTTTAGAAAGAGCCCTGTGGCTGCAAAGTGGGGTAGACTGAAGGCAGGAGACCCTGCAGGCCTGAAGGCATAGGGGACTATTTGGTGGTGTGGCTGTCTGTTGATCAGAGCTGCTGATAAGGTTTGAAAAGTATTTAAAGTACAAGTCGGACAGTGGAATCTCTCAGGCGGGACTGGAGATGGTCTCATGGAAGGTCTCACTGGTCTGCACCTACAGAAAGGGGCCATTTGAGCAGGTATACATTTCAGGAGGGGGTGTCGGGCCAGGTCACCAGTCTGGAAAGTGGCGTGTGTGGGAAGGGGTGGGGGACCGGCGGGCATGCCATCTCTCCGGGGTGCAGGAACACGCTGGCGCTGCCTTTCTAATAATGTTGTTTTATTGTAGCCTTGATGAGAAAAAAATCTGTTCCAGCCGGGCCATGATTTGTGTGGAATTTGTATGTCCTGTGTGGGCTTTCTCACAGGGGGTTCTGGCCCCTCCCACCCACCCCCAAAGATTTACACATTCATTTCACTAGCGTGACTCCATTGTCCTGGTCAAAGTGAGTGTGGTGTAGGCATGACTGTCCTCAATGCAAGGGCAAACTGTCCAGGTGACTCCCACCTCATGCCCTGAGCTGCCAGGGCAGGCTCTGGCCACCCAGAACTGGACCAAGTGTCTTGGGAAATGAATCAATGAATACAAATAATTGCTTAAGATTAGAAAGGGTTGCAGTCTTTATTTGGAAGCTTGCTGATGTTTGTATGACCAGAGTAAGAAGTTAATACCTAGTGTATCAGTTAGCCTCTGGTTAAATTTGTTTTCCTGGGTTTTACTAAGAACCTAGAGGAACATGAAAACTCATAAAGGAAGACTCACTGTAGTTCTCTAAGGTAGACGCATAGCCTTGTTCAGAACCCCAAGATCTGCTCTGTGACTTTCCTCTTGGGGCTTACCTGAGGCGCCACACAGTTGTACCCACCTTGGATACCCCAGTACTGTGAGGTCACAGGCCCCAGTTGGGGCTATGCTTATACCACCTGCTACAGACTCCTCACTTGCTCAGGCCTGGTTTGAAGCACTTAACCTTTGAAGGACCCAGAGAATGCGTCCAAGCTGCTCTCCCCAGTGTGACATATGCCACCTCCAGCTTCCACACTTGATCTTAGCCCAAATGCCTAGAAGCGACAACCACCTCCAAATTCCAAAGAAACTTAAGAAGAAGGTGCCTTTATCTTAGTGTTAAGGGTTTAAGGTGCAATGACTTGTCCCAATCCGCCCAGAGCACTGGACCCCAAAAACACCCCCAGCGTGGCAGAGCCCAGGTCTTCGTGAAGTTTCCCTCCCACCGTCTGGCATCTGTGCTTGAGCAGTTTGTGGGGTGGAAGACTGGAGGCAGCTGGCTGGTTCCAGGCGACAGGAGGCGGGCGTACCCGTGAAGGGACTCAGGGGAACCCACAGAACTGAAGACCCATCGTGTGCCGGGCAGTATGTCTCGTGTAACCTTCCCAGGAGGTACCCACTTTGGTACAGGAAGGAGCTCCAAGCGGCCACCTCGCTCGGCTTAAACAGCTAAGGGTTGGGGCAGTGCTGGGGGGCAGCAGGCCCAGCTTCCCGGCGTGCACCCCACGTAGTCACAAAGCCCTCCTGTCGAAGTTGACTGTTCTGTTGTCACCTTCTAGAAATCCTCATCACTTTTGAACAAGGGGCCCACAGTTTCCTGTAGCAGCAGGGCCCACTCATGATGCAGTTGTCGGCCTAGGGCAGCTGCTTCTGAACGCGGCAGAAAGGCCTGTCTGTTGTGGTCAGGAGCACGGGCTTCGGGCATAAAGAGGCGAGAGCGTCATGGCCCCGCCAGTTTGCACCAGCCAGTTACCCCGCAGCCCTCCTCTGTGAGGCGGGTGGAGGTGACACGTGCACCGCAGCCTCCCAGCGTGGAGTGGACGATGCGCGTGGGCCTGGGATCGCACCGCGCACCCAGTGTTTTCGGGGTTGACGTCCTGTGACCATGACTCTTTACAGAACATCCCCGCCCAGTATTTGTACCTGGTGGCTCGAGAATACTTCCACAACCAGCAGTCCCCGCTTGAAATACGGAATTCTTTCCTGGACTTGCTTGGAGACGTGTTCTTTGTGGTCCCCGCTCTGGTCACAGCTCAGAGTCACAGAGGTGAGTCTGGGTAGCCCTACTCCCGGCCCCGGGCCCCAGCGCCACCCGAGGGCCCTGGGGTCTGCTGGCAGGCCTGCTCGGCCCTCCATGACCACGGACAGGCAGCTCCCACTGGTGTCTGGGCTGCCCCCCTCATGCTGACTTTGCATCTGCCTGCCTTCCAGAGTTTAGGAATGTTGATGGGTTCTTGCTGTTTACATCTCTTTCCCTTCTTCAGAACCATGTGGAAAATTCCTACCTCCTCATAATTTTCTGGGGCTGCCCCCCAGATTCCCACATATCTTAGTAGTAGTAGTAATATGCCCAGAAAGAGATTACTTGTGGAGACACAGCCCCCTTTTCCTCCCTCCCTCCCTTCCTTCCTCTCCCCTCTACCTCATCCTCCTCCACCTCCCTCCTCTCCTCCCCTGTCCTGTATTCTCCCCTCCTCCTCCTCCCCTCTCCTCTCCCTTTCCTATCTCCTTCCTCTCCCTTTCCTTTGATTTCCAGAAATAATCATAAAGGTTTTCCTCTGTACTTGACACTATTCTGGATCCTGCAAAGAGAGCGCTGAGCAAAATCATGAAACTCACATTCTAGTTGGGAAGACTGGTAACAAACAAGTAGCTGTAGTATATTTGTTAGATTATTAGATGGTAATAAGAACATTCGAGTGAAATCAAGCAGAAATATTGCTAAACAAACAATAGCAGCCACAAGAAGTAACAATAAACCGGGGAGGGTTGTAAAATCAGATATTCACAATTGCCACATGGCAATATTCAGCAGCTCTGTTTTTCAACAAAGTATGCAAAGAAACAAGAAAATGGAGCCCAAGAAGCAGGGAAATAGAAATAGCCCCTCAGAAAATCCACGCTTGACAAATTTTAAATATGTTCAAAGAGCTCGAAACCATATGTGAAAAAACCAAAGGAACTCATAGAGACTAGCAATGAAGAGAATACATAGAACTATAATATATTATACATATAATATATATAGAACTATAATATATATATTAGAACTATATATAACTATATATAATAGAACTATGATATGATATGATATGATATATAATATAGTATAATATAATATAATTAATATAATATAATATAATATAATAT